TTTACTTTAGGAAAACGGACACTTACAAAAAATTGTCAAGAATTCCTTGATGGTGTGGCAATTGAAGACGAATAACTCTGAAACACCCTTAAACTTTACGCATTTCTTCGTGATGGTTATTAACAGCGCCACCTGTCAGAAATATACACCGTATGAAAAAATGTGTCAATACTTTGGATTAATTGATTACTTAATAAACTGTAGATCGAAAGTAACAGGTATATAAGACCCATACAGTAGCTATGGGACACAAAACAATCAACGCATTGTTGAATACTTCCAGTAATGTCAAATCCTTTTATGTAGTACAATGTAGTCCTTACGCATACGGAATTGTCAAAGAGAATTTCTGAATTTTCATGTTGGTCGCCATATTACCATACCAATGTACTAGGTCGTGCAATTTTCAGACTTTTCATTACGTCTTCACACAAAATATAATGGATGTGTACTAATAGATATTTTTTTTTTTTTTTTTTTTTTTTTTTTTTTTTTTTTTGGGAGGGGGGGGTGGGGGAGGGGGGTCTTTTTATCGTTAAATAACATTTACAATGTTAAAATCTCAACTATAAATGCTTTTATAGTTCTATTCTCCTTATTTCATTTATAATAATTAAACAAACAACAGTACTCGTGTTTTTTTTTTCTTTTGCTCTTTTCCTTTGGAATTGCCTCAGGGAATGTACACTTCGTTAGTGCAGTTTTTTTAGAACATATTCACATCTTCGAGTGATATAACAAAATAAGCCTTACTTTAAATGTTAACGGTTAACATGGTTAGTAAAAGAGATGTAAATCATTTGGTCATTTCAATTAATGGAATGAAAGAGCAATGGGTTAGTTTTGTGATAACAAAAAAGGATAAATTATTAGAAAATAGAGATTTCTTCTGCTTCAGGTACAGTTTAATCTTATATATATAGAATAACTTCATTTTAAAAAGCAGCACGATGTTATATAAATCAGCTTTTCTAAAATTGTATAATTTTTAATAATGAAAAAACTTCATCAATGAATTTTAATATACAATCGTTTCAACATCAGATGCTAGCTTTTTTATTGATTAATGTATTGTTTTTTATTTCAAAAACTTTCATTGATTTTTTATCAACAGTCATTTCCTAAAACAACATCGTTTCTTAAAACATTGATTTTAAGGTCTCGTAAAAAAATTAGATTAAATACTACATGAATTTTACCCTCACCTTTGCCCCCTTTTCTATTTTTTTAGGGGGGTCTTTTTACCATTAAATTACATTTACAATGTTAAAATCTCAACTTAAAATGCTTTTATAGTTCTATTCTCCCTATTTCATTTACAATAATTAGACAAACAACAATCATGACAATACTCGTTTTTTTTTTTTTTTTGCTCTTTTTCCTTTGGAATTGCTTCAGGGGATTGTACACTTCGTTAGTGCAGTTTTTAAGAGTTCACTTTCATAATTATTCTACAATGAAAAGTCATTCATGTATAGCATTTTTTATTATACCTCAGTATGTTTTTTCTATATAAAAAAAGAATGAAATATTTGTGCTATTTCATTCCACAGACTATTTGCCAGTCAATAGTTTCAAAGACTATTACCCCGGTCAATAGTTTTATAAACATATTTCCCGTACTTTTTCATACTAATTTTTCATTGGACAACAATGACGTCATTAACTATTCTGCTTGGATTTGTGCATTTGGAAACGTTAAACTCTGTAATATCATAAACGGTATAATCTGTATGTATATGTCATAATTTCAAATTCATAGAATACTTACCAGAAGCTATTAAAAAAAGAAAATCTACGAGACTTATTATAAGGATTTTAAGGACTAAAACATAACAAATGTATGGTATGGGTCTGTCGTCCTCTTCATAATCTTGGGTTGCTTTGATATACGGTAAAATATTTAGCTAGCGTTTATCATATGCACGGAAATTTTTACACAAGGATTCCTGGTCTTGAATACAGTAAATAATTATTGACAAATATCACACGGACAATAAAAAAACAAACCTGATAGTTCATCTTGTGCATGTTTATGTGACTATTTGTTTTTTTTTTCCAAGTGGTGTATGTAGTCTTTTTAGAAAATTGTTCTGTTCGGTATAATAAAACACTTAATGACTGGTTATGAGTGTAATAGCAAGTTTGTTGTCCCTTTGATACTAACTATTGCCCTCGGCTTTGCCTCGAGCAATAGTTGGTATCTCAGGGACAACAAACTTGCTATTACCCTCATACCCAGTCAATAGGTGTATAATAGTGCATGGAAAGCCATGTACTATAAAAATTAGAAGGGAAAATACTGATTTTCCATTGGACGAGAATGGGTGAGTATGTTCTAAAAAACGGAGAAAACATATCGTATCGTATGTTCTACTGTTCAGTCTTAATACCAAAAAAATACTTTTTATCAGTTCGTATATCGAAAACAAGAATAAACAATTGGCTTTAAACAAAATTTATTGTTTTGTACCAAAATATTATGTTGTGTAGAAATTTAATGTTGTACAAATTATAATTTGTCGAAATTTAATGTTGTACAAATTATAATTTGTAGAGAATTTTTGTACAAATTATCAGTGTCGTATTAACCGCTTAACACAAATGCATGATGCAATCACAGAGTCTTTTGTGTCGCATATTACTGTCATTTTTCCATGACTACATGATACATTATAATACTTAGCATTGATACAAGGAACATCAAAAGAACACAAAAAGACTTTTTATGGATATGATTTTGGTGTAAGGAGAGAAATGAAAGTAGAGTTTAAACCATTCAGATATCCTTATTTCAAGTTTTAGGACAAGGAGAATAGCACTAAATGTTACGTTGAAATATATAAATTTGAATAAAAGACATTAAGCTGATACATTTTAGAAGATAAACTTTTATCACTTGGTGCAAAAAGGGATGTGTCAAAAAAAATTATAACTTGTACAAAAACCATGTACAAATTATAATTTGTACAAACTTGCATCCGATACACATTAATTTGTAAATCCATTTACGATTATTTTAAAGACATTTCACGCACTACGCTTCGTTGATAAAAAACATTTAACCATATCTAGATGGGTGCTTTTAACAAAATTAAAGTTCACAAAAGTCATTTTTAGGACACATTAAAAACCAATAAATCTTAAAATAACGCACATGTTATTTATGGTCCGCTAGAGAGTTAGATTAACTACAATTGAAATATATTTGGATTGAACCTTACTCGAACTCTATAGAGGATGCTAAAATCTATTTTGAATAGGAGGGGAGGGGGCCTTGCAGATTCATGTAAACTTTAATTTCCTGGTATCTTATGCGCAATAAGAGTAAAAACGTATCTAATCTTAATAGAAAAATAGTTTCGGATTTTGTGCTCCGAAACTCTTCTAACGTTATACATGTAGAACTTGGCATATTTGTATAGACGTCTGTCTTGTTGAAATCTTTTGCTGACTTCTAGATGTCTAGGAGTTTTTTTATGTTCGATGATTGCTGTATCATTGACGCATACACACACCATGGTTATCACAATTTGAAAATTTTATTTCATTGTATACTTTAGGAAAACGGAAACTTATAAAAATTTGTGGAGAATTTCTTGATGGTGTGGCAATTGAAGACGAATAACTCTGAAACACACAACAAACTTTGCGCATTTCTTCGTGGTGGTTATTAACAGCGACACCTGTCAGAAATATACACTGTATGAAAAATGGTGTCAATATTTTGGATTAATAGATTACTTAATAAACTGTAGATCGAAAGTAACAGGTATATAAGACCCACACAGTAGCTTTGGGACACTTAAAAATCAACGTATTGTTGAATACTTCCAGTAATGGCAAGTCCTTTTATGTAGTACAACGTAGTCCTTACGCATACAGAATTGTCAAAGAGAATTTCTGAATTTTCATGTTGGTCCCCATATACACCATACCAATGTACTAGGTCGTGCATTTTCAGACTTTTCATTACGTCTTTACACTAAATATAATAGATGTGTACTAATAGATAGTCTGGGAGAACATGATTTATTCATTGATTGTGATTGGCTTTGAACTACTTTTCAGTAACTGCGAGTACTCTTATTTCAGTGCTTTATGTCTATTGTTTTAATGTTAGTGGATGTTGTGGCTCGTATCGATCTTTTGAGTTAAGCCAATTGCAACTGATTTTCACAGTTTGTTCATACGTTGTGCTATTACACGACTGTCCAAGATTAGTGAAGCGTTGAACGCCCAAAAACATGTTTAACCCCGCAACATTCTTTATGTGCTTGTTCCAAGTCAGAACTTGTAGTACAGTGGTTGCAGTTTGTTCAGGTTTGTAATATTTGTATTTTATAAATTATTTTGTTTTAAATTAGGCCGTTAACTTTCTCATTTGATTTGTTTCACTTTTTTTCTTGTTAGGCCCTTTTATAGCCGATAATACGATATACTTGTAGGGTTTTCTCATTGTTGAATGTCGTACGGTAGCCTATAAAAGTATAAATGCTTATATCCATGCACTTTATTTTGCCTCTAGATCTGGTGGATAGTTGTTTCATTTGGAATCGTATCTCCTCATTTTTTATTTTGAAAACATTGATATGCATCTCCAAACGATGGAAAAAACGGTTTGGAACAGTTGCGCGGAAATTTTCACCTCTTATATATATAGATTTGAGGCGATGGATATAATGAAATGTAAAAGGATATTGAAAATGTTAATAATATATTTATATGGCATAGAGAAAACACACTAAACATATTTTTGTCGAGTGTGCAAGACCAGACTCAAGCTAGCGAACAGTAAGACAAACGCGCCAAAGTGATCATACCTAAAAGCCGAAGATTTAGATTACCACGTGTAAAGAAATCGTTTTTTTAGTTTTCTTGCCAAAGGTTGGTTGATATCGCCAAGTACTCTGGATCCTTCACCAATAAAAATGGCCACCATGTTATAGCCATATTGCTGAAAGTGACGTTCAACACTGACAATCAATCAATCAGATCTTTAATAATGCTTCATTTATAATGTTGAAAATGCTACGAATTTCTCTTAGCTAGCTTTGCAATTAAATTCAAACCGCCGAAAAGCTCCCTCACTCGTAATGACAATAGAGGCGGAGCTAAAAAAATGTTTTATAAGATTTCTTATCTTCATTGATCAATAAAATAAACCGATTAACCAAGAATTTGTATAAATTATAATATGATATGTAATATTTTATATGATATGAAACTGTTGTTTATACATGTACAATATTCAGCCATGTTAACAATCCATTTTACTGCAATCTTTCTTTTAATTCATTGACTAACGCGTCTTTCAAATTGTCTGTCCTTTCCTTATTCTGGTTGTTACTTTCGTCGCTATCGTCAAATCTTACACGGCTATTCTCCTTATTTTCTTCTGATACCGTTCGTTTTCTAAGTGGTTTGCTGTATAAATCCTCTATACGAAAGTCGGTCGAAAATTGTTCATCCTGCTTCAACGCATATTGATGTCCATTATCGGAGCTTTTTTCATTGGATAATGTACCGTTTAACATATTTATATTTTCCTTCCCTGTATAAAATGTGAAATCTTTGTTGATATTTTGCCACCGTGGTACGCCGTCACTGATTGATCTTTGTAAACAGAAATGATAGTTCTTATCAAACAGAGTTGTGATATTATTGTCTCTGTGGATTCGTTCGTTTTCGTTGTTGTTCATCTTTTGGTATTTCTTTCTGTCTAAGTATGATTCTTCGGTCAAAATACTATTAATCTTTAAAATAAACGTATACAATAAATAATTCATAAATCTTTCATAAAATGTGCAGAACAACTACGGATCACTTTTTTTTAACTGAGTGTATTATCAAAGAATATGATTTACCAAACATGGAGTGTTTCTTCGAGAGATACCGTAAACCAACTTATTTCCCTTGTTATTTCATCCCCTTCAAGTCCTTTCTAGCAGATTTCATTATCTCTATTTTCTAACTTTGAAAAAATAATCAAATGAAGATTCAAGTTTGACATAACCGTGTCGACTTATTCTTGCCATTTTTTTTTAACTTTTTAACTTTCTTTATCTATTTTGCCCATTATTCTCTATATTTTTATATTTTAGCGCTCCATTATTCTCTATTCTTAATTTCTGTTTTGCCTTTTCGTCTCTATTCTATATATTGTTTGTCCTTTATTCTGCATATTTTGCCTATTGTTCTCTATTATGTAAATCCCATTCAGACCCTCATATATAAATGTTCTTGTTATTTTGAGATTTTGGTATTGCTGGTTGATCTTTGATTGCAGTTGTTAATTTCACGCAGACTATTTATTAGGTCCTGATAGTGTTAGAGCTTTGGCATATTGTATAGGTACCTACATTGAAGACTCTATGTTGAGTTAAGGATGTTCGCTCCTCTGTTTCAAAATAACAAGCTTTTTAAAAGACTGTTATAAATTGATAGTATATAAATAAAGAAACTAAAAAAGCAGAAAAAAATGTAGGGTCTGTGTGCTCATTTTCGAGATGTATGCCATTGAAAATTTGGCGGGAAATGCTTCTCTCTAGACTTTTCATACATTTAACTTTGTCATCCTTTTTCTTTTAAAACCTATGAAAAAATAACAAAGATTTTATAGGTTTTCAAATATTTCAAGGTATATGTAATAAAATTGTAAACAGAAAAGTAGGGATAAGCGGGCAAAATTGTTTAATGGCACTACATGGATAAAACCAGAGGATTCAGAATATCTGGCAAAAATTCAAAAACAAGAGGAGCGAACATCCTTAAAGAAATCTTTTTGTAAATAAAACAATTTCTTTGTGTCATACATATAGCTATATTGTCTCATTGGTGTATTATGTTTGTTTTTTTTTTTTTATCCCAAATGAATTCGAACATTTGTCTTCGTCGTTGGAAAAATAAGATCGTTCGTTGAATAATAGAGAATAGCATACCATGTCTTTTAAAATGTGAACTTTATATCAACCCGATTTGACTTGGGGAATGATACGGTGTCTGATATTGATAAAGTAATATCATATAATATAATTTATTGTATACTGTAAACAGATAGTTTACGTGACATGAATTAATATATATTTTGGGATTTGAAAAAGCCTGTGCATCCATGACTATATATATAAAAGTCTAAATTGAAAACAACGTTCAAACCTATGATTGCGTTGGATAAAAACCGCAATTTTTATACGTGTGCATGTAAAACAAATTTCTTGGTAGAGGGGTCTAAATACAGCACAAACAACAATTTCCAAAAGACCAAAAAAAGTGAAAAAGTCTATTGTAACAAAACGCATTTGACTAACAGGTCGAACAACTGATGTTCTTAAACCCTGCTGACTGCCATTGGCGATTGCCAAATAAATTGATCACCAGATCTAACGAAATGGATCTTAATATATAATCACGAATGGCTGCATCAGAACGATTGCCGTTGATTGTATTACATACAAAATATACTTGAATTTACTACGAATAATATAAACGGTACCAATGTTAATGCACTAGATGAGCATTTCGACAATTAATATATCTTCAGTGATAATTGAGGTCCAAATATTGGAAAATCCAAAAACTAATACAAACGTTGAAGAAGTGTATAATTAACATTAACATACATGTACCTAACTTCTTTTACTGTATGTGTTTAATATTTTGAAGTCATACATGTCACGTATATGATAATTGGCGATACAATGTTCTATTAACGAAAGTCTGGATGGGGTTTTCAGAATAGAGAAAAATGGACAAAGAGTACAAAATAAAAGACATAAATAAAAGAAGAAAAATAGATAAAAAAAAAATTAAATACGTAATAGAGAATAATTTGGTACTTAATATAAAGAATAGAGAAAAATGGTCTAAAAATTTAAACAACACAGAAATAAAGGACTTAAATCCAGACCCACTTTAATCATGTTACACTGTTTAAAGACCTACCGAGGATTTACTCGTTACGATAGTTTTTAGTGTTGATGATTTCCTTTGTTTACTTTCCTGGCTAAGTGACTCGTTTAATATTTTTGTCATGCTTCTTCTTTGGGATCTTCGCTCAAATGCATTTTTCACCTATAGAAAGCAATAAAATATCAAATGAATTCAGCGATATACAGTGTGAAAATTTGGCGTTTCCCCAATATATTCGAACTGCTTTTATTAAAAACGTATTAATATTTGTTGACAAATCTGTTCTTAACAATGAAAATCGGAATGTATATCTGAAAATAAACACCCGTAAAAGATAAAAGTACGCTAGAAGCACGTTTCATTTACATATTAGTTAGAAAAGCAATATGATAGAAGAGTATGAACACGGAAAAGTCCGAAAGGAGTGTGCCCATTTATATTTTGATTGCCTTTTACTGTGGACTCGTTTATTTTCGTTCATTGAGGCAAAATTTGATTTCGTGATTCTGCCAAAATCTGCATTCAAGCCTATAGAAAATTTGTACTTCGTTGAACATTTAAATTCGTGGTCCGCCTTAACCCACGAAATCCACGAAAATTGGTATCCCGCGAATAATGATGAATCAACAGTAAAACAGTTGTGTTTATTTGGTTGTTTGATGAGTGTTTCGCTTACAGCAACAAATATTACTACAGACGATAAAATGTTAATGGTTTATAAATATAACCTGCCTTCTACTCTACCAAAGCTTTGAATCGACAAACACAATGCGTTGGATACATTATTTTTACTATTAACCGACCATTTTTTGCATCTCTATCAAAACTGCTTGGGTTGCATATAGATATCACATGTTTTGTTGACATTGTCGGATTTGAAATTTTAAAACAAACGTGACAGCTCTTGTGCCTAGCACGAAAATACGAGTGCAGCATGGAACATTTGTTGTTAAAAAGCGTGTTTTATAAAATAGAAAAAAAAGGAAAAAGGAACTGATACTTACATCTGTGTTTAACAAACAGTGGAAAATAAAGAAGAAAACACCCTGAAATAACAAATAAATATATTTATTTATTGCTTGACTGTTGGTGTTTATCGCAACTTCCAGCACTATTGGTTATATGTCGTGGCGCCGAGACATGACGTCTATATGAGAAATCATAGAAAACATAGAGCAGTTACAAACAGATTTCAAATTGAATTTTTAGTTTAGAAAATAAAACCGAAATAAAACAAGGAGCTGCCGATAACATCTCATACTATTCTCGAATCCCCTGTCTTGTGTCGCAATGAAGAAATTTAAAGTGACAAAATTAATATTCAAAACACTGATTATAGTGTCATATGGACCATAGTGAGAAATTAAAAATAACTTAACACCCAGTCTACCATAAAACCATGCAAAACAGTCCACAAGGGGGTCATCAGATTTGATTGAAACTTTGTGTGCTTAAACAACATTATGAAAGAAGTCCATAAAACAAATATTTCAGCTGGTTCCCATGCCTTTCATTTAGGAGATGCTGTAATGTACCGGGAACCAGTTTCCCCATGTTGGAGGCAGTATTTTTTCTATGAAAATGACCAATTTCAACACCCTGAAACTTATGAATGCAGAAAACAACGAGATAAAGAACGATGATTTATTGAATAATAAAGTATTGAAGCTTTAATAACTCATCAGCACTTGAAGTTACTAGAAACAGTTTGTGAATTATTCCCAGGGAGATAATCCAGTAAAAAATTATTTTCAGAAAATCATAAAAAGTACGTATTTTTAAAATTATCTAGCCTTTGGTCCATTAGAAATACAAAAGCAACTCCCTATGTTTTATCAATTGGAATACTTAATTATGCATTTTAGCTAGTAAACTTGCAGGGGTCTCATTGAAGTACATTCTAAAATTCAACTCTAAAAAATGCCTAAATTTATATTTTCTCTCAATAAATCAACGAATTTAAGAAAGGTATTCTGTAGATAATTTTGGAAATGTAAGTGTTTCTATTTCAAAAGCACTACAGCTTTTAACAAAATAAGTCAAAGTAACGATGACCATAGTTCAATTACAATTCATGATGCCATAAATATTGAATTTCTATGCTACAAATGGAGATAATCCAGTAAAAGTGCAGTTTAAAAAATCTTAAAATCACATTTTTTTAAATTTACTAGCTCTCTGTCCATTAAAATATAAACTAATCTCTATTTGGTTATTTTAAGTGACATAGTTAAGAACGCATTTTAGCATATACGATTGGTTGATTCTTGTTTTAGTACTTTTTAGAATTTTCCTTTAATAATGTCCAAATTTACAATTTCTCTTACAGAATCAATGAATTTTAAATATCAATCTGTGGATAATTTTGGAAATACACCTAAATTTTACTTTTTAAAAACCTACGGAAGCGTATTAGGGCCATCCTTTTTTATTTAGTTTTTTCAAATTGTCGACTTTAATCTTGGAATTATCAACTTTAATCTTGGAATTTCCAGTTTTAATCTTGGAATTATCAACTTTGACCTTGGAATTATCTATTTTAATCTTGGAATTTCCAACTTTAATCTTGGAATTATCAACTTTAATCTTGGAATTATCAACATTAAACTTGGAAATTCCAACTTTAATGCTGATAATTCCAAGATTAAAGTTGATAATTCCAAGATTAAAGTTGATTTTTTTTGGTAGTGGTGTGCTATGTTTGTCTAAAACAATGTACCCATTTTTATATAATATTAACTAATATTTGGTACCTTTATTTATGTATAAAAATTGTGACCCGCCATGACATTTCCAGGCTTATGGAGGTAGAATGTCATTGTTAGAAATTATAAACATGATAAATATCGAGATTCAATGGAATACGTACAAAAAGGTATTTGTGAAGAAGAGATAAACACTTTCCTTGGCTTCTTTTTTGCGGACGCCGAACTATACATCATATATAAGTTTTGAAGAAGTTTTACTTTATCGTTTGAAGTGAAAAATATTTGAATCTACATTTTAAATAGATACAAACAAAAATATTCTCTTCTCTATAGATTTTCTTTCTTAAATGGAGTCTGAAATTTATCCATAATAAATGCAGCGTATCAAATGCATATAAGAGAACACCTACTTATAAACTGTTACGCGTCGCATACTATGTATAGAGACATGCATGATAAATCTAAATTAAAAGACAAATTTAAAGAAAGGAATTCTTAAAGCTTACTTTGACAAATTTTAAACTAACTTCATTTCAACAAGTTTAAATTACATGTTCTAAAACAGAGCTAAGAATTGTTTGTATTGTAGTAAATTTAATTCTTTCAATTTTATTCAAATACGCTATTGAACATTACTAAGCGCCAATAAATACAATGATTTTGTATTTTATAAATTAGTGCCTTCAATAAATAAAAGTCGTCATAGAACAGTCTCATTTTCATACCGGTATTCGAAATGACTCGTTTCATTGCTATTACAACAAATATGTCATAATAACATGACAGAGAGTTTTGTTTCGAATATTCTAGATAAATATACAAAAAGCAAATTTTAGACAATGTACCCTCTTTAGCCTAGAAGTGGCTAGTCACATATAGTTAACGGCGTTTTTCTCACAATGACGTTCTACCTCCATAAGCCTGGATATGTCATGGCTAGTCACATATGTAAATATATACAAAGAATGACCTTTACTTGTGTACAATATTTTAATGTAAATATAAAGTCCCTGATTGATTCAAATACCACAATTGGCCATTAATATAAGATTTCCAATAACATATTTATAAAAGATATGTAGAACATACCCCAAATCAATATAAAATTATGAAAGAACCATATGCATATCAATATAGAATGTCATTAAAAAGTATCGTCATAAATATAAAATCTCGCAAAATTATGGCCAATATTTTAGGCATATCCACGTTTACCCATTATTGGGAAGTTACAGCCATAAATATTGATTTTCTATTGTACAAAGGGAAATAATTCAGTAAAAAATGCATTTTCTAAAATCTTTAAAAAAGTATCTATTTTTTCTTCAAATTAAGCATTCTGCTCTTGATACATTATAAGTGTTTCGATATTTCTTTTCTTTTCATAAAGTAAAATATAAAACAAAGCATACCAAGGTGTAAAAAGTGAATGTTTAGACCAAAAAACTGATTGTGATTTTTTTCTATGATTCTGTTTAACATGTCAAAATTTGCAATTTCTGAAAAAAATTTAAAAATCAATCTGTATATCCATAATGTTTTAACGTGGTTTTTTTTAAAGAGCAATAATCTAACAAGGTGTAGATAGCTAACAAATTACAGTCACCATAACATTGATTTTTATATAACCAAGGGGATATTACAAAGAAATCTAATTATAGAAGCAGGCTTCTAAAATAATTTGTGCTGTCATATTTTTACGTTATGTCATTTAAGGGAAAAAACTCTAACACAAGCTCGTCTGACAGTATTGACGTAAACAGATGGTAGGGAAATCTCAACATTTTGAAAATTCCTGCCCCTGTCAGATTTTCTCTATCTTTAGCAGTTTTCAAGATAATAGAAAATATTTGCATTTGACCCAGTAAGTCCTATTTTTAGCCTTGTCGGCCATGTTGGTTAGAAAAAAGGGGGTGGTCATTGTACACAATTTCTAAAACTCTATACTCAATGGTGATTGTGGCTAAGACTGATTAAATTTAGCCCAATAGTTTCAGAGGAGAAGATTTTTGTAAAATTCAACAGACGACCACAACGGACGACTGACGCCAATTGATGGGAAAAGCTCGCACTAGCCCTTTGTTCTTAAATTGTACTTTAAAAATTATTTCAGAGACTGTATTTAAATAGCCGGGCAATCTGTTCCTTTAGGTAAAAAGCTGAGGTTTACAAAAATAACTAGGGTAAACTTAACAATCCTTTAAATAAACTTATTCAAAAAGGTTACCTATTCAACACTGTAATTAAAACTTTGAATATTGTTTTTATTGGTGTAAATATTGATTTTGTTATCAGTAAATTAAAACCATACTAAATATTACACATATGTACTTTCACGGTACTACAATGCAATCTGTCGATACTTATAGTTTGGCATTTCACAAGGTCATGTTTTTCTCTGACTGTTTATGACGTCTTTACACTAAATCCATTGGATGTTGGATGTGTACTGAGCGCTATTTTAGTCTTAGATACATGATTTTTTTCATTAGTTGTTATTGGCTTTGAACTAGCTGTCAGTAACTGCGAGTACTGTCGTTTTGTTTTTGGGATGTATAAGTACCTGTCCACGTCTACTTTGTGTTTTTGTTAGATGTATTTCTATATTATCCATTTTATGAGTTAAGCCTTTTTCAACTGATTTTTATAGTTTGATCTTATGTTGTACTGTTACACCACTGCCCAAGGTTAGGGGGAGGGTTGGGCGCTCACAAACATGTTTAACGCCGCCACATTCTTTATGTGCCTGTCCCAAGGCAGTAACCTGTAGTTCAGGGGTTGTCGTTGGTTCATGTCTGTCATATTTGTTTTTCGTAAACTGTTTTGTTATAAGTTAGGCCGTAAGTTTTTTCAATTAAAATTATTTCATATTTTACCACATCTCCTTATTTTATATAGACATGATTCTTAGACTGTCAAAATGTAGTCCAACTTAAGAATTCAACTGCCAGACTTGAAAGTACAGTTCATGCTGAATCCAAGGACTAAACACTCAAGAAAATCATTTTACTACCAAATTTTGATGCAACAGATGCATGTCATGATACATTACCAGACTCAAGCTAGCGAACAATTAGCCAGCGAACAATAAGATGCATCAAACTAGCGAACAATAAGCCAGAGAACAATAAGAAAACGCGCCAACTTGATCATGCCTGAAAACCGAAGACTGGCAATTACACGAAACGCCCTTTGAAATCTGATGACAATCATCTTCAGTAGGAAGACGAAATGCAATTCCATTTTAACACAGACAAAGTTAATTAGTTATTCGTGTATTTTTAAAATACAACTTTTGTTTAAGCCGGGCATCTAAAATTCCTTTTAGCAAATACTTT